AAGTTTTCATGAGATGTCCAAATGTTATCTGTAATGTCCAGATAAATATGAAAAGTCAGAATTTTATACTAGTGTTTGCATTAGAAGTGAAAATAACATTTTACCCAGGGTAAGGACACTCAAGGATACATGTACATTATTTAGTGTTTTTGCTCACTGACACAGTCTAAATACTTAGATTGTCACTTGTCCCAGTAGTTCACTGCATGCTGTGGTGAAGCTTACTGGTCCAACGTAAAACGTCTTCCTATGAAAAAGTAAAAACGTCAACGCTCTCTCCTATTTGATTACAGTTCATTTGAATCATTGAGTTAGATTAGCTTAAAATGCACAGCCTATATTTCTTTTAACCCAGTCTAAAATTAAACCTAAGTTATGTTATCTTTTTTTGCAGTACACCACTGTAGCAGCAGAACTGTGGGTAAAAATAATAAGCAAGAAAAAAATATCCAAACAGCTGATCAGCGTTCATCTCTCCACTCTTTTCAGTTAAAGTTGTGTTGTTTTCATCTTTACAATCTCTTAATACTTCATTGTGTTTCATTTGAGGGGCAGTCAGTGGAAGATTTAAAACATGTGAGGGCCTGTTGAGTCACCATTCAGCTATGAAAGACAACACAGTTATGTTCTGGGATTTAAATAAAAAGGCTCAACCTTATTCAGGAATCAAAGGTAGTCATGGACGGTTATTATAGACAGAAGATAAATTTGGGAATGATTCAGACTTCAGTCTTTACAAGCATTAGCTGGTATTGCCTATCTTGTTCTCTATTGAAAGTTCTGTAGACATCAAAAGATGGACATAAAAACACTGTTTACCTTAAAGGACTGCTGCTGTCTATTTAAAACCAAGACCAACAAAAGCAGCTGAGCTACAGGCCTCATTAAAGCAGCAACATCTCCGGTTCACTGGCAGCATGTTCCATAAATGGATGGCACTCTGCAAACAAAAGGCTTAAGCACCTCACTCATTTAAACACTAATGAATTGACCTGGCTTCACCTGGCTTCACAAAAGCCCTAAATAAGAAGCAAAGTAAACAAATAAGGGATAAGAGGCAGAGGTACCTCTGCAGCTTTGAGGAAGCAACCAGAGAAAAACCAAAGGATTAAAGAACCAACAGGATTTTGTTTGTAGAAGGAGGAATAAAGAAGACGAAATAATAAGACGACACAGGTAAACATTCAGGCTTGAAAGGTTTCATGCTGTGAGGATATGAGGCTGTAATTTGAGGGAAATACATTTCTTCTAATAAGAGAAACAGCATGGATCATAAAAACAACAGACCAGTTCTAAAGGAAATGGGTCCAACCAATAAACCTACCAAACAATTTAAAAATACTAGACTCGTTTTATTTTATGTTACGTTTCCTAATTCCTTCTCAGTGCATGATAAATAATATGACATGCTGGTGTTGTGAGTTAATTGTAATATATAATCTTTTAGAAATAGTTGGTTGTATGTTTTATATATGTGGCCCTAATATTTGGTTACAAATTGTATATAGACGTATATACAGTAGAGAGCAAAGATAAAATGTGAGCTGAAAGTCAACACAGAAGCCCACAAATACTGCAAGAAAAATTAGACCCAAACTGCAAATGCTATCCCTTTTTACACACAAATAAAACATCACAAGCTTCACAGAGCTTATTTGTCTTGCAGGTGTATTGTGTTGAATAGTAACACACTGCTCAGGTGTTTCACTATTCCATCTTAAGTTCTTCCCCTTTTTTTATGTATTTTTGATTGCTTGTGAGTGCCAGACAAAACAAAAGAAGTCATCTTCAGTTCTGTAAAATACTTAAACCATTTAAGTTGTGTCTTGATGCACTGCATTAAAAATTGCACTGAGGCCAGGAGAACATTAACAGCCACTTTGAGAAGAGGCCCTCCATTTCACACTGCCAATTTTGTAAAGCTGGTACTGTACTGCACGGTGCATCATGGGAATGTTATTATCAGCTCAGGTAGCCCACTTCTTGATTTTGCACAGACGCATAAGAACGTAGATAGTGCCATATATAGCCAGAAAAACACTGGGACACACAAGCCAGAAGAACATTCGCGAGCACCTCCACATTGTGATGTCTTAAAGATGCACAGTGCCTCCAAGTGGACTGAGCATGTCACTGCAGTATGGTAATATAAAAATGCAAGGAGCTGACCTATCAACCATACATCAATACCAACAAGTAACAATCAAAGACATGGATGGTGATATATAAATACTATGAACGTAATTAGCATTCTGTATTTTTGCTTAGAGCTGCAAAAGCACACCATACATTTTATAAAAGAATCGGATCAGGACTTACTACCCTGATTTCCTTTTTCTATGGCGTCTGTAAAAGGCTTTTTTATGCTTTAACCTGAACAGAAGCTTTAATTGCAACTGTGATACACATTGTCAGATGCCTCATCTTTGTCTGTACAGACCAAACAGATCATGTAAGATAAATCCAAAAGATTGACTTATCATTTAAGACATTGACGCTACGTCGTGACAGGATTATATTTGTGGTTTTCTTCAGTGATTATGAGGAGCGATTTACTCAGTAAGAATGGGGTAGAATGATTAAGCGAGATGCACACGGACGGAAAGGAGAAAGCAGAAGTAGGGGTGGGTTAGAGGGAGCTCAGTGCATCCAATTACAGTAAGTGTGCTCATTTCCTCTAATCAAATAGCACAGTCAAATATCTCAAAGGCAGGTTTCCCATAGAGCCGATCTTCACACATCAGCAATCAGTCACTAAGTCTCTCTCTTTCCCTTTTCTTGTCATACCCTTTTCCTTCATGCTACTTTTTTCCTCTCAAGTTTCCAATCAATTTTGCACATGTCATAACACCATTCTCTCTCTATACAGCAAGGTTTATCTCAATTTCTTTCTTCTCTGACAAGACACTCAAAACTCAGAGATTTTACTTCCCACTGTGCATATAATTAGAAAGAGCTGCTAGAAGGTGTAATGGGAAGATTTTCTTTTCATGCGTTTCATGGAAAGCTTGCACACAATCCCATAAAAATGCATTCACTCATTCCTCTCTCCCAGGATTTCTTGTGGTTTGTCCTACATTTGTCATAGGCTGTAATAATGGTTGCCATTGCTTCTAAACAGCCTCTGGTTACACTTACAAGGGATACTCATCCTGTCTTTAAACACGAACTGGGAGCCCTGTGGCTGTTTTGTCCTGATAGAATAGAATAGCGATGGGTTTCGTCTTTACATCCTCCTAATCTGACTTTTAATCCTTATACAAACAATACAGAAGAGAACAAAGATTTATGTGGACCAAGAGAGGGCTAAATACATAAGCTATGGTTTGTGCCATTGTTTCTAGTCTGTTTTATAGAATGTCAGAAAAGCTACACCGTATGATGACAGTCACACGCACAACACACACACACACACACACACACACACACTCACTTTAAGACATGTTGAATGACTCTTAATCAGGTACACATGGCTTAGGCACGTGTGCTGCACTTGTACGGGCAGCAATGAACACAGACAGAGTCTCACACACACACACACACACACACACACACACACACACACACACACACACACACACACACACACACACACACACACACACACACACACACACACACACACACACACACACACACACACACACACACACACACACACACACACACACACACACAGCTTTAGTAGTCGCTATAGATCCACTATTTAGGATAAATATGTTAAAATGTCAGTGACTGCAACATCACATGTAAAAGTAGTAAACATCACATGGTAAAAGTAGTAAACACACTAAGCTTATTTTTCTTCTAATCCGGATCATTTTAAGCTCTTTACAAATTCCGGAGCTCAGATGCCTTGGTACTGGAATACAGAAAACCAAAGCAAGGCCAGCGATGCAATTAACACACTGTTGGTGGCGGGGTCAGCATTCCTCTCAGGGAGACAGAAGCCTTGGCATGAAAGTGGTAGTGAGAGCTGGCAGAGAACTATAGCCAATTTTGCTTTCCCTTTCAGCCTTTGTTCTGCTCATTTAATCCCTAATTATAAAGGGAAAGAGGAATTATTCAAAAGGGGAACTGGTTAATGGACTAAAGAGTACAGAGCAAAATGCTAACAGGCTGTAAGTCGTGAGCAGAAGCCTTGTATGGATCCTACAAACACTTAATACTGTGTGACTTGATAATGGCCTAAAAGTACATGAGCCAAATAAACTTCTACTAACTTTATAAGTACTCTTACTGTTTTCATTTGTACATTGGCAGTGTTACTGTGCATGGCGTACAAACTACTTTGAAAAAATAACTATTAAAAACTTTTTTCTTTGTAGATCAAAGACTAGGATTATACAATTGCACTGTGCCTGATATTTTCATTTTTAATGTGGAAAAATGCCATACAACTATTTTATAAAATACATGAATCATACTACAGGTCATGCAAACTTATGGTCTATCACAGCCATGGAATCTCTAAGAACTGTAGGCCGGGGTCACAGTGCATCTTGTCAGTATGCAGGGGAAATCCAAATGTGACTCCAAGAGACGATGTTAAGTGCATTGTTGTTAAACATTTACTTTGCATTCCTACATTAGTTGAGAAATTCTAAGTTCTTGTAAGAGTGTAAATGTTTGAAACTCTTCGGTAACAATGAGACTGTTGGAACTCTACATACAAAGTGCATCAGAAAACTCTCAGGAGTCGCAACCTTGACATTTTCTTCAACCCTCTCCGTCTAAAAGATTTTGTACTTGGAAATGTGCCCACTTCTCCTTCACACAAGCTGTACCCGTCCATTTTTTAACTTTTTCTTTTACTAAGAAACTGTATCAACAGTAGGGAGGTTTGGCTACCCCCACCCCTTTCCGAAAGATGCTTTAGAGCAATCAGTATATTAATTAAGCAAAAAGAAATATAGAGTGAGAGTACTTTCTTATTTTACTGCAAAAAACAACTACAACGAATTAACAAAGCTAATGTTTTTTTGACTGTGTGCATTTACCATGCTGTTGAGCTCTGAGTCATCATAGCTGTCACCTGGAAGTGTCCTGGGCCCACCAAGTGGCTCAAGACCATCCTCATCCCACATGTAAGTTCCACCAGAGCTGTTAGAGGGAGACAGCTCCAAAGATGAAGCCTGAGGGCCATCAGCCTGCTCCGAAGACAACATCAGTGGCCCCTGGGAGTCCTGCATAGGGCTATCATCTTTATGTCCTGCATAAATTATATAAACACAGGGATGAACACTTAAAAAGAATGTAACAAACATCGAGTAGAATTTCCTTTAAATAGAGTTTATACCTTCCAGATCCATAGTGTCCCAGTCAAGGGTCTCATTGATAAAGCTTTGTAGGATGGTTTGAGTTTCCCTGTTATCTGTCTGGTCTCCATCACTAAATACATCTCCCACGCTGTCAAATTCATCTGGAAACTCTTCACTGATGTCGACTCTTTCTAAAGATGAGGCTGAAGATAAGGACATGTCCTCTGGAGTCTCGCCTGCTGCCTGGCTAGAACTATGCATACGCACACCATTCTTTCCTCCTCCATATCCAGAGCATCCATCACTATCACTGGGTGGGTCTGCTCGGTCAACTTCACCATACGGCTCATTGTCTATTGTTTTTTCTATTAACCCCACACTCTCAGAGGCAGTTGAAGGTTTGATATCACCTTTGACCCTACCTGGAAAAAGAGGCTTTTGCTGCCTGGCCTGTCCCGACCGAGCAAGCCTGTAGCCCAAAGACCCCCCACTGCTGCCCAATGGCTTGGTCAGAACACAACTGGGGAGCAGAGGCTTCCTCAAAGCCCTTGGAGTACTGGGTGCTGGAAGGATCGAAAGAGTGGGCAGAGAGGAGGCAGCTGGAGGGGTTCTACTGTACTGAAATCCTCCAGGTCCTCCGCTTCCACTTCCACTTCCTGGACTTCCAAGGCTACCATTCATGCCTCCAAGTCCTGCACCCACTCTCCCATTACTCAGCTGAGGAGGTTTAAGAAAACTACTCCTACGAGGTCGTAGCTGAGTGTTTGCTAGAGGCTTGGCTAGCTCCACAGCCCGGTTAAAGGAGAAGGAGCGTTTCATAGGTTGGCTGGTGGGTGACGGAATTTGCTTGAAATGGGTGAAGCTGTTTGAACGCACCATGTTGTCCAGTGCCAAGGTCTTCAGGCTGTCACTGAACTGGGACAGGCTGTCCTGAGAACTGCTTCTGGGAGAGGTGGAGCCTAAACTTGGACCCACGAGGCGGGATTCTGACCCTGTTCTTGCAGGAATACTGGAGCCATTGAGGCCAATTTTAAGGCTTCCATTCAGTGGGCTTTGGCCTAGCTTGGTCCCCACTTTGGAACTCATCTTCAAGGATTGCTTGGGAATGGCGGTAGGACTGGAGACAGCTACAGTCAAAGTACCTGACCTTCTCATCGTAGGAGTTGCTGGAGAGCCATTTTTTACCTCCTTTGTCAATGTAGGAAGCTGTTTCTGAACCCTATCTTCTCCACTGTCCACAGGGTTGGTTGGGGTAGTGGGGCTGGATAGTGTTGTCCCCTCATCTTTCTTCCATTTCAGGGTGAATGGGGATGCACGGATCACACCATTTTGGCGTATTCCTGGGGGAGTGGTCTTACCATCCTGCGTAGGAGTGGTTGCTTGTGTAGAACCATTGGACAAAGGGCTTCCACCACCAGTCGTGGAGCGTCCACCAAACTTAGGCAATCTGGACACCATGGCAGATCTGGCAGGTGCTTTTTCTTCCATTAGATGCCAACAAAGGCATGGGGGGCATGGAACCACACACAACTAGGGAAACAGAAAGACATAATTAGAAATGAGAGGATTTTAGTGTCAATGATAAGAGGCAGGACACTGTCAAGCAGGATAATAGGCTGATGGATTCCTATAAAACTCCTATAAAAAAACACCTGGCACATTTCTTGATTTTCTAATGCTACCTTAAACTGAAGATATCACATAAAACAAATCAAACTGATTTGCCTTACCATTTTCATACTCTGTCCAGAACTGTGATCCAGCCTGTTCTTCATGTTTGAATATAAAGTAGTTATACAAGCTAACATTTCAAAATCCGTCAAAATTTCCTGTTCTGTACGTTTCTAATACACAGTCAGGCAAAAAGCACACACATTCGTAATGGTATTAGAATTATCCGTATTGACAAACAGCAATGATGCTAAGAGTAGTCCCGTCTACCTGCTGCAGTGAATGCACGTCCGTCTCCTTTTCAAAGATCACTGACTATGAAGAGCATTAGGGATTAATCTAGCAAGCTTAAAGGGTAAAATGAGGCCTTATTATGGGAGGTCTGTCTTTCTTCTTTCTTGTGGCAAGAGAGAGACACAAAAGCTTCATTAGTCTCTGTAGTACATAGCTAGTACATAGCTTTACAGCTACAAATTTCATCCCACGTGGTAAATAGGATGTATCATCCTTGTTATAAGTAATTCACAGTTCTTTGACTATATTCAACTTAAAAAACTGAACTGAAGTAGGTTATAGATCACTAGAATATCCCAAACAGAAAGGATAAATAAAAGACAATCATAATTAAAAAGTAGTTAGAGAATTGAGAACGTTTCAAAAATGATATGACAAGTAGCTGGCAAAGGTTTATGAGAGGACATTGCACCAACAGAAGAATAAGCTTATGCCTAGGGGACAGGGGAGACCAGCGCTGGGAAGGTCACCACTACACTGTTAATAGTAAATGGAGGATGAAAAACATGTAAAACCAATTGAGGGAGAACATAGGCCTGATAATTTTCTCATTGTTATGTATTCAATTTTAATCAGCCATGTGGCAAGTGTGCATGTGTAGCTGGTGCACCTGCGTGTTACATCCATCTGGCTTATTCTGGGAGATTATGAATAGAAAAGTTACTGAGCTCCAGATGGCTGGTGCAGTAAGCAATAAGTGACTCATCTGCATGAGGAAACATAGCAAAAAATAATAAAAGTAGATTGCAGGCTTGTCCCCAAAAGAAAATAACCTATTATTGCATCAATTAATATGCTCACAGCTACTAATTAACGTTCAATACGGTAAGTTCCAGCTGTATTGATGATCCATAACAGTTCAACTACTTTCTACAGTGTGAGTGGATCCCTTGATTAACCAGCACACACAAAGACTCAAAGACAAAAAGGCAGATACTGGAGCAATAATCCACTGAACTTTTGAATGGATGGGGGAGGGGTGTTGTAAAACAATGTGGGTCTCGTATTCTGGAGAAAAAAAAAACTGTGTACAACGTTGCCCCACATTCCCATGCACAGACACACGTGTCTAATATCAAAGTGACACACTCACTGTTGCCACAGAAGTGTCTGGCTTTGCCACCATCCTAAGCTGCCTCATAAACACACATTGAGTACACACAAAAACACACAGTTCTATACACACAAAATCAGGTCAGCATGTGCAGGCATGGCAACCAAAGCCTCTTTGCCCCGGGGAGGGGCTGGTGACTGTGTGTGTCTAGGTTTATGTGTGTTTAATGGGAAGAAATTAGATTAGAGAGAGAGAGCTACAGTAAACAGTCCAACAACCTCTAGAGTTTCATTCATAACCAGTGTGGTAGATCACTATTACACAGCAGTAAATCCACACACTGCTGTAACAAATGTATACTCATCTAGGTCATCTCACTCATCTCCACGTCACTGAAAGAAATCTGTCTGCTGTGCTGATGTTTTGGATTTGACTTAAATCGCTTTTTAGAAATCTCCCTATTGAGCGTCTCTTTTTCGTTTATTATACCTCAACATTATAGTATCAACATTAAAAGCCAATAATAAGATATGTTCTGATCGGAAAGTCGTAGAATAATTAACTGGCATGTTTATGAAAGAGAAGTAACAAAAGGGATTGGGTGACATGAGACAAGAACAGATGTCATGAGATAAAATATAAAATTAACATTTAAATATAGATCCTAAAAAGGTATCTTCTTAAAAGTGACCTTGAACAGTACACTTAAGAACGCGGTGCCTTTGCAAATGGTTTAGGAGCTACCGTTTCCACTCTGAACAGTTCAATTTTCTATTGGAAAGTCAGTAACCAACTGATGTCACATTGTGCAGTCTATGTCTAAAGCTGTATTGCCTGTATTGAATTTTCAGTACTGGTGCCAGTACACTTATCAAGTTTTTGTACCAATCCCAATTCTGTTTCAGATATCTCTCAAAGTATGGTTGGTAAATTTGTTGAGTACAAACAAATGTATCAACAAAATAACATAGGTGGACATTTAATTTGAAAACATAGAATAACCTCACCAAAATGAACAGTTTTTCACAAAGGCATAGTTTTAGTCGGTTGGACTGACTAAAGCTCTGCTCCCAATACTAGAACAAAGACACAGGTCAGCAAGGAAGGACGTCAGACAACAACATCCTAACGGACTGACACACATTCGGAGGTAGGGCAGTAAACCGTGCAGGCCATCTGTCAAAGACTCATATTTGAAATCCTGCCCCTCCCCCCAGAGTAGAGTACTGTAAATAAATATACCAGAGCTTCACTTGGCCTGCACCCCTGCACTAAACCCCGCCTTAACCAAGGTACACAATGGGTTTTTTCTGGCTTAAGTTTGATTTTGAAAAACAGATGAAACCTTGAGTGTGTGAAAGGATGAATACTGTAACAAAAACAGTCCAGGAAGAAACATTCTGAGTTAAATTAAAGTACTGAAAAGCTAGTGTAACAGGGAGAGTGAATTATGAACCCTGCATAAGACAGGAGAAACCCTCAAGCAAGTCTAAGTTTGTTGATCTTATTTCAATGGATTTGACTTTCAGATCCATGGAGATAGCTTTAATAATTTAGTTTCTAAAGGAATTAAAGCCTTGCATGAATTCTTCACTGCACTGAGAATTGGTGAAAAGCAAAAATAGCTTCCAACCTGTGTGTACCAAAAAAACATTAAACAGAAACTGACAGACACCTAAGAGATGCTTATGGGAGCTTCATAAATGTTTTGTGTTATGCCACAAATTAACTTTGAGTATTATTAAGTGCCATTAAGTGACATTAACATATAATGTCAAAGAGCGACAAAAAGGGAAGAGAAAGTGAAACAGACTTCAGACATTTCTCCTGCAAGACCAACTTGGCAGTGATCCTGGCGTGTGAAATTATCAGGAAGATGAGATGACATCCTTTCCTACTCTCTGTTTTACAAGTAATGGGAGCTTTCTGTCGTTCTGCCAAGAAGGCTATTTGGGATTACGTTATTTCCAACTCAGAGGACAGCCAGACAGAAGGCACCTGGCAGACCAGCGGGGGGGGGGGGGGGGGGGTGAAAAATCCGATTTAAGAGTGAGGTTGTTCATAACTCCTCTAGCAAAGCTTTCACTTTTGAACTGTGTGGGCACACTCACTACAGAGATGCATTCTTCAGGGGTAACAGGATGAATCCAGATAGGGTGGGACAGTAAAGGGGGGGGGGGGTCAATGATCTATTGGGTCATTGAGGCTATGCATGAATGGAGGTGCCCTACTACACACAGTAAATCGCCAATCCTGCTGTTTATCCCCACAGCTGATCTGTCCCCAACTCCCAATGCTCATAGTTCCATAATTCCCAATCGTTACAGCCTCAGCAACATCCTACAACATAGTGTTAGGCTACATCCCCATTTTCTCCCTCATCTTTTCCTTATTCAATTTCAAAAGATTGAAAGGTGACATGTTACTTTTTTTTTTTCAGTACAAAAAAATCATGATGTATTAGATGGATTTGAAAGATGCTATAACCCCATCAAAAAGAGAGCATGCTGACGGTTTGGTGTGTTTTTGCTGTGGCTTTATCAAGTATATCACAGCTGATCATTGCAAATATGATCCATCGGTTTATTAAAATATTTGAAAAGAATACATTAACCTAAAAAAGTAAAAACAGCTGCATGCAAATGCCTACATGATGCAGAAGAGGCTGCACCACTATTATTTGCAGGAGGGTACAATACCAAAGAACATCAATTTGTCTTTTCTCAGTCTGAAGGACATGTGGTTGTTCTGCTGCCTTATGAAGGATCAACTGACAAACTATGGAGTTAGATCAGTCTCAATATTCACAAATGCACACAGAAGGATTCACAAATGTATTTCAATGCACACACAAATATATTTCATTCTATATAAATGTAAAACAAATCCACAAATAAAAAAATAAGATTCACAAATGTATTTCTGATTCACGCACAAATATTCAGAGTTTTGTATATATATGTAATAGAAATCAACAAATATATAAACTGTTCTGTCTGCATGTACAAACTGATTGTCATTTGTGAACCTCACTGCATTTGTGTGTGGGATTTTTTGAGACTCTGCTGCCGTGGTTAGATTCACAAATGCATTTTTTTTCAGCAGGGAAATGTCTGTAGCCAATCAGATGTCTCCTTCCCATTCAGTCAATCACAGTAGCGTAGATTCAAGGGTATGATTTAATGTGATCACTTTAGTGTTGCATCTGCACATATAGCGATTAGCCTAGCTATCAGACAATCAGAGCAGACAATGTAGCTATCAGGTAAAAAAAAAAAGGTTAAGAGTGAGGGAACTCTCCTCTAAAAATGTGGATATTGAAATGGTCTTTCTTGAGATACCACTGTGACCTTGAACTTCTACCATACATCTAAAACGTTCATCCTTAACCCTAGGACACTTAAACAAAATCTGAAGAAATCCCCTCTAGGCTTTCCTGAGATATAACTCTCTGTCTCTGTGGAGTAATAACTGGGCCAGTCATCTGGACAGGGCAGTCGTGGGCCATTGC